TAGCTGTGTTTGTTCGTTGTATCATTTTCGAAAATAACTTTGACAAACTAGGATAGAGAAAAATCACGTGACTTTAAAATGGTATTTGTTGGACTTTAGGTATACTTTGAAAACTAAATGTCACTAAAAATCGTTGAAGAATGAGCTTCATTCTTCAATGATTTTGCGTGCGGGAATAATGAAATTCTCACATCAAAATCGAGAAAATGTATTTTTATTTCTTTCTTATACAAGCTGGTAAAATAAGATACGAATACACTCAGTACGCACTAACCCTTATTCCAATGGAATTCGCTATCAAAGTTCGGTTTCGTTTTTGTTGGTAGTACAGAATATATTCACCTAACAAGTGCGGAAAATGAAATTTTCCGCACGAGTCTGTCGTTCACCGAAAGACGTGTAGCGGAATTCGGTGAAGCAGCCGAGTTCGGAAAACAGATTTTCCGCATGTGTTAGGTACAATAGTTTTTCTACAGACGTGCGGAAAAAAGTAGGTACATATACCTACATAATTTGTAGTAATTTATTGTTTTTTTTTTTTTTGACAGCCGTGCGGAAAATATTTTTCCACACCGATATCCGTGCGGAAAAAAATTCACCGCACCGTGCGAGAAAATCGATTTTCCGCACTGTTTAATTGTCTTCGCTCTCGTAGAAAAAGACTCAAATTAAACTTTTTGGACGTGGCACCTGGAAAAAAATGGGGTGATTACCCCCCCAGACGCATGGGCTGGATACGCCGGTGCAATCAGAGAGAGAAAGTAAACAAACAAAAAGGATAGCGAGGATCAATCATTTAGTTACTTTTGTTTTTAATGTTGACAGCCCGCTAGTAATTTTTGTTCTCTTCTTTTGGCAACTATATTCGCGCACCACAATATGGCGGCCAAACAAAAGGTCAATTGGTTATCTCTTACGTTGCGTTTCCGGTGACATATTTGACGCAAATAAATCTAATGTGCGCAAGCTTAGAACTTATGTTACCTCTTTACGGTTACGCTATGGCTACGTCCATTGTAAAATGGGCTTCAGCTCGGTAAAGCCAAAGCGCCAATTTTCCTGTTGCCTCTTGCAAAATTACTCGAACTATTATTATTTATGTAATTATTAAAAAACATGACAACCCTGAACCCACGCAATATTGCAATGCCACTCCAAAAACACTTGCGCTTTTTTTTTAATCGCTAACTCTGACTAGGGGCCAGGGGGCGCCAAAACATGAAATCGCACGCAGGCGGCTTCAGGTCTGGCGGGGGCCCTGTTCCAAGCTTTGCCGCGGCTAAATGGTTGGCTAGCCGAGTTTTAGCCACCTTACGGCCTGGCGGACATGCCCTACCTACACGCCGAGCCGGCGTACGTTGGCGGGCCGCACATGGCAGTTCGGCAAATCACTTTCGTCCCGTTATCGGACCAGCCAGTTCGTGTTTGTTGGGACAGTCCAAGATACCTTTATTTTCCACAACAATAATCCCTTCTAAGAATCAGCTGATAATCCAAGATGGCGACATGGGCATAACAAACTTGACGACCGTGCCTTTACATTCAATTCCAATTTGGATGGAAATTGAATATAAACGTGCCTTTACGGTTGTCAGGTGTGTTATTCCGTTGTGTTATCCCCACGGCGCCATATTGAATTGAGAGAACGTCAAATCGCCCTATAAGACTGAAGACACAGACAAATATAAAATACAAGTGACAAGAGACAAAAATATAATAACACGTGTATCACTATCTATAAACTAGAATAAATGGATATAGGCAGGGGCGGACATATCACCGGGCAGTTCGGTGCTCCGCCCTGGGGCCCAGGGTCCAAAAGGGCCACACGATGTCGCGAAAAATAGGTTAGGGGGCCCATAAATATATTTTGCCCTGAGGCCCACTCATCCCTAAATCCGCTCCTGGATAGAGGATACAATTTACTTGCCACGCCATGATACAAATGGCGAAGTCTTTTATTCATCAATGGATCCATCTGCTGCCAGCAATATGAGACGGCCATTCGCTGCCATTCCGATTTGATATGAACTAGACAAAGATAGACTGGTCATCGATGGATCCATCGGTGAATAAAAGAAAGCGCCCAAACCCAAAATCATTTTTTGGTATTTTGTATCTGTCACTTGTGCATATTTTTCAGTGTCTTCAGCCTTAACGAACCACCCGACCAAATAAAAAAAACTTCCAACTTCGCTTCTCACCGGCGCTTCTCTTTGCGATTTTTGTGCTTGCTGTTTTCCCTTCTTTTGGTGTTTTGCTTTTGAAATGTTTCTTTTTCATTGTTTACGGGTATGTCTATCTCTGTGGCAATTTTGGTCATCAAATGATTTTTGATGATGACGTGATGACGACGACGACGAGAAGAAGAAGCTGGTCCTTCTACAAAGATTGAGGGCTTTGCAGAAGAAATCGTTCTACGCTTTTCTATATAAGATGCAGTTCAAGATTCAAGAAGCACTTTCGAATAGTTCCAGCAACTTTTAAAGATTTTTTTCAAAAGCCTCTGTGAGCAGCAAAAATGTAGAAGATTGAATTGGACATCCGACAATGAAAGTTAAGCTGGATTTATACAGCAAATAAAATAAAATAAGATAACATAAGAAAAAATAATAACTACATAGCTAATGCATTTCTTATTTTATTTGTTATTTTCTGTATAAACACTTTAAGGGTATCTCATGAGGTTTAAAGGGGGTGTGACCCTAAAAAACGACTTAAGCTACTTAAATAAAGAAAAAAATTCTAAGATCTCTCGTGAAAACCGCAGTCCTATATTCAAAATGCTCTTCGAGAAAATTCCTTGTGAAGATAAATTATGCAGGAGCTTGTGACGTTATAACCGCCGAAATCGCAGACTTCTGTTCGTTCAGTCGTCAGTGAACCATACTCCTATACTTTGAGTGGTTGCAATTCGCTCTAGGAGATAATTGTCTTTTGTTTTGGAAAATTTTTACACGTGTTAATACTGTTCCTGATAATCCAGTGTGACGTCACAAACACCTAGTTGTAAATTTAAACCGCCCTAACTCGAAAACGGACCATCTTAGCAAGATGCGGTTTGAATATTTATTCTTAGATTTTATTGCACTAAAACTTTCATTTTTGGGTCACATCCTCTTTAACTGTTATTTCTTATTTCTTATTTTATCTTATTTTATTTTGTTTGCTGTATAAATCCAGGTTTAGAAACTCAGTTTCGGGCATTTTTGCAGAAAAGTGCCTGATTAGGTACCTACTGAAAATTAAAGGTGGGTTTATACAGCCACATAACATAACATAAGAAATAACATAACATAAGATAAAAAGTTGACCTCATGGAAACCCCTTATGGCGTTTATACAGAAAATAACATAACATAACATAACATAAGAAATAAGAAAGTTGGTTAACTTTTAACTTTTATGTCTTATTTTATGTGAAAACGGATCTGCGCATGCTCCTCCCTTGATGTCCCCGATGGGCCCAATGGCAGAGTAGTAAACAAAACATTTCAACCAAAAAAAAAAATATTTTGATTTTGTTTTCAGCTATTGGTAATTTTTTGGGAATTCGATATTTATTTTCTGTTTCTGCTAAATTATTGATTAATAATTTTTTTGATCAAATATAGTATTTCCGGTAGAGTTTACATAAGTACACATACCAGCTGATTGGTTAGAAATTATTTCTTATGTTATGTTATTTTCTGTTTAAACGCCACAAAATTCTTATTTATTATATTATGTTATGTCTTATTTTATCTTATTTCTTATGTTATGTTATGTGCTGTATAAACCCACCTTACATTTTTGTACATCAAAAATTAAACACTCCGTTCCTTCGTTGACACTTCGAGTGTCTTCGAGACCAGTCGGTCATCTTGACAGATAAGCAATGCATTTAACGTCAGTTAAGACCAATTGGTTAACAAATGACGCTTAATTAATGGTTTATCTGTCAAGATGACCGATCGGTCAATCGTTTTAGGGTGAATTTTCATGCATCCGTTTGTCCGATGAAAGATGTCCGAAAAACCTTCTATTCTGACATAATCGTATGAAAATATGTCAAAATAGAAGATTTTTCGGACATATTTCGTCGGACAAACGGATGCATGAAAATCCGGCCTAAAGCCTACTATAGGTACTCATAACCGCGAATTGCGGATTTTTATTCTGCGGATTTTTTCCTATTGGTCGATTTTAAATTTGACAGGTTTAAATGTATTCGACCAATAGAAAAAAATCCGCAACATAAAAATCCGCAATTCGCGGTTATGAGTACTGAGTACTAGGCTTAAAATTGGCTAATCTCTCTGTCGGTCTGAAAAGTAAAAATTCCGAGCAATCAGATTTACGTCCGACTGGCCTGAGCGGAATTAACGAACGGTTTAGATTTGTCTCCCCTACATCTAGATGCAATAAACGAACGATTCAGATAGAAAAGATTGAGCTTTGTCTAGTATCCCCCCTAACAAGCGTGGAGGTTTCAGGGAAAAGCAGAGAAGTTCCGGGAGTCAAATGCACCTACTAGAAAGAACAAAGCCGTTTAAAAAGTGCGTTTCACTCGGAGTCACTCCACTCGCAGATGTGCAATGACTCCGTGAAACGCCGCGGCTGATCGACAGAAGAAGGCAGGCATAGAAATATGGCATTTGAAACCGATCCAACCCAAATTATCATAAAATTTATTGGAATCGCATCAAAATTCTAGAAGAGAGTCGAACTTGCGTTTTTATTACGTGACCATAATTATTCTGGCGTTGAGAGTAGGAAAACCGCAACGATTTGAAACAAAATGTAGATGGTATGGTCTAATTTGGTAGGAAGAGTTACTTGAGCAGATCAGCAGATGTCAGCATTGTCAGCTGAACATCGGGCATAGCTTTGAAATAAATTTTGCTCGGAGTGCTTGGAGGAGAATTAACGAAGGGCTTTTAACGCGGAACGCACAGATCAAATAAACGAACGCAACTTGAAAGCACCTTTTCCTATTCGACTTTTGACGTTATCATTTGATATACGACTTATAAAATTAATAAACAAACAAAACCCTATTTTTTATAATTTGAACTATTTGAAGACACACCATAATAAAAAAATGATTTAATAAAATAATGAAAATGAATACTCCAACTTCCGAATGCATCTACCACGAGAAGCAAGTTCGAGAGCTCTGCGCCCTTCACGCTCTTAATAATCTGTTTCAGAGCAAGGATGCATTCACAAAAGGCGAATTAGATTGTATATGCCATAATCTTAGTCCAGAAAACTGGATAAATCCTCACAAATCCATGTTGGGGCTAGGGAACTATGATGTTAATGTTATTATGAGCGCTTTACAGTCTAGAGGATATGCTATGATTTGGTTTGACAAGAGAAAGCAAGTCTATTTTGTATTACTATTAACCCATGTATTTCTTGTATCACTTTAAGGCCCGGTTTATTCATCTTCAGATAAGTTTGCGGGATTACAGATTGTGTTTTTATCAGTCAGATTGTATACCTGACAGTTTATCAGAAGGTGAATAAACTGGCACTAAGTATGCAAAGTGTGATTTCCTAGGTAGGTTATTGATACTACTATCTAACCATTCTAACCCTACAGTGTTTGTGGATAAGCTGTACAAAATCCTCGTAATTGCATGAAGCTTAACATTTTCAAACTAAACGGGTTAGCTATTTCCAGTGCAGACCAAAAAATGCTATTTGGCCAGACATCTTTGCTAATGATTTCTTTAGCGCAGTTTTTGAAGTAGGTATTTACCTCAATGGGATTAAAACCATCAGTAGATAACAGGGTATCTCCTTTGTCTCATGGTAGACCAAAAAGACTAAATCTTAATCTTATGATAAGATTAAGATTTTAGTCTTTTTGGTAATCTTATGTACTCTAACTCGAACTCCCTAAGTTGAATTTTCTTCACAAACAAAATACTTTTTCTCAACTTCACTATGTATTTTTCCCCCATAAGTCAAATTTTATAACTCGAATATTTCTTAAACTTCAACTAAAATTTAATGGCAACCATGTCCGCAACTAAGAGTAACTTGAATTTTTCAGGGAAGCACCTACTTCATTTAGTGCACTTGGGAAAATTACTGAATCTCAGTGACCAGCGGCGACAGATAAAGACTTGTTCTCAATTTTTTAGCATGTGTCACTAACTCGAATTTGACTTCCTGCCCCTTGAAAATTCGAATTAGGGAAGTTCCACTGTATATGCAAAACTCCAAAGTCCAAATTGTCTATGTGGTAGGCTTGAGACCAATTCATTATCTGGGCATCCTGTACAAAAAGGTGCATATCACTATGTTTGTAATTTCTTATTAGTTTGCTTACTTGTTGGATGGTGAAGATCCAGATAAAAATCTTGAGTTGTCACTTGTGTAATGTATCTAGAATCACTTGGAAGTATCCATCAAATTTGCCATATTATTTCTCAACTTGCCTTGTGTTGATGGTAACTGCAATTTGTACGCTTTCCTGGAAGAGTTAATATAGTTAGCTCAGCTCTCTTTTAACCAACCCAAAACTATCAAAACCTGATAACCCTTTGCGATTTTGATGTCAGATATTTGTTTGTTTAGGTAACCACCTACAATGTATATGCTTGTGCAATAACAAATTCACTTTGCATTGCTCCAAAAAGCTACACTGTCACTATCAACAGAAAAGTTGCAACAAACATACATTAAGACATTAAGATGAAATATGTTTTTTCTTATGTGTATTTTTTCCATGGAATTAGATAAAATTATTGCCTTTAGTTGATTAAGCTAAAACAAACCATGCACTAGCTGACAGGTACCTAAATTTTCTACTGTGTTTTATTTCAGAGACCCAAGCTGCCTGAATTTAGGAAACATAGCTGGATTTATACTTAATATTCCTACAGATTACAAATTTAGTTTTATAACTTTACCTTTAAAAAGAAGACATTGGATTTCTTTAAGACGGTTTAACGGACTTTATTATAATTTAGATTCAAAGCTGGATGTGCCTCTACTTATTGGAACAGTAAGATTTTTACTTATGTATTATTAACCTAAATAAAAAAATTAATCTGTAGGATATTATAGCTATTGCAGCTTTTGACTACCCTAATAAAAGGTGGAATGTTTTTCATTTATTTATTTTATTTTAGGAAGAAGCTTTGTTAAATTTTGTCAGGACCGAACTAGACTCGAAGGATAAAGAATTATTTGTTGTTATGATAAACGATGTTGAAAAATCACAGAGTTGGTTGAAGGAAAAATCAAACTACGATAACAAGATTGTCGATTCAGTTAACCGGGATGCTGAAGAAGTTTTGATTAGTGATATAAATTTAATAACCACTGAGCTATGAAGATTTCCTATGACGGCCGAAAATGGAATTATTTATTACCTACTTGATGAATTTATGTTGCACTTTGTTCAAATTTAAATGTTTGTTGCTTATAATTTGATTAATAAAATATAATTATTGTTGAAGATTTTCAATTTTGAGTTAGCAGAATACGGGGCAAAACAAATAGTTAGGAATCATTCCAAATTAAAGAAGTTTTCCTGCAATACAGATAGAGAAAGACTTTTTCTGGATGACAAATAAAACATTGAATTAGAATTAGCAGAATAAGGGTATTACTCTCTGGATATGAGCTAATTGCGTGTCAGTGCGATTTCAGTGAATACCTGCTTCTTTAATTTAGAGATTTCCGGGAGCAAGAAACTTGAATAGGTAATCAAAATATGAAAATTTAATAGGTTCTAGTTGGCCTGATAATATGTAAGACCAATTTAAATAAAAGTCAGAAAATACCAAAATTTGATTGCTTCAAAATCAGACGAGTGAACTAGTCAGTTAATGAATCAGAAACCACCAGGTATCCAGTGCCAAATCTTGCAAAGCCCACAAACAAAAATATAACCTCAAACTAATCGGACATAGTAGTAGTGTGTTTGTTTATGCATTGTGATAAATAATGTCCATACAAAGATATTTAGTGCATTTAGCATACATTGGAACGCCCTTCAGGTAATTTACTATCTGAAATAAGTATATTGAAATTTAACCTAAAATTTTAGGGGCTCCCAAAGGCAAATAAAAGGGGGTACTCCAAGACAACATGATCCTACAACTATACAAGGAATGATGGAAATGGGTCTTCAATATCTCAACCCAATCAGCGATACGATTGTATTTATGGCAAGCAGGTACCAACTCAACCTTTTTGCACTTCTAATTCAATTTTTTTCGGTTTAAAGTTATTTGAGAATGCTTTCGACATTACTATACATGAATTATTTCGTTCTCATTTACTATGAATAGCATTCCGAGTCACATTCTTCATAATTTTGTAATCCACCTCAGTCCAAGCTTATGTTTCTATATTTCTATTATTTGAAAAAAAAAAAACATTTTATAATCTGTCTGTTTTTGTTCCCGATCCCATCAGAAATAAAATGATTTTTGAACAGAAAACTTTATTGGTAGGTACCCGGTACACGGTTACTGATAGTGCCACAAACTAAATTTAGTAAGCTAAATGTTGGATCTGACTCTGAATGAAACAATTTATTATTTTTAATTAGGTAACGGCCCAATTAAGGACCGATTGAGAAGTGTTTTATCTCTGCAAGACCATCTGTGGACGCGTTTCGCTGTATCACAGCTCTTCAGCACGGTTAGGTCCCGCAGAGAGAAAACACAACCCATTTTTGGTTCCATCCCGGAACTGGGTTTGATACAAGTAAGATGGAGACTCTGTCTTCATCTTATTGTAGCAATTTATTATTGTTCAAACTCCTAAAATCTGAAACAATTAGGTACATCAAATTAAAATCATGCGGATGTCCGGGGTAATGGGTTCTTTATTATTTTATTTCAGAACAGATGCTGGTGTCCATGCACTAAACACCACATGCCACTTTGATTTACATAGGCCGGTCGAATCTGTTTATGAACCAAACCAGTTAACATATAGACTTAACAAGTTCATGGCATACAAAGAAGTTCCTATTAGAATTTTAGATACCAAACTAGTTCCCGATGATTTCCATTGTAGACAAAACGCTGTATCGCGAACCTACTTGTATAGACTCATTATTGGGAGACACGATCAAGAAAAACTGAACTCCTGTAGCCATTTTATGCCAATAGAAGAGCACAATAGAGCATATTTTCATTGGTATGATTACAACAAATTTTATCAAATTTATTCAAAGCCTAATTTTTAGTGATTCATATTTCGATATAAATTCCATGCGAGAAGCGGCGAATATGTTTGTAGGATTCCACGATTTTCGCACATTCATGGGAAAAGTTCGGGACAATGATAGATTAACACGACGAGAAATAAGCAGTATAGAAATAATTGAACGAAGCAAATCTGAAGTTGGAGTAGCGCCATCTTTTAGCTGGCCGAAAATCGCTATAAGGAACTCCGGTGAAGAGTCTCATTCAATAGTAGATATTTATTTTAAAGGAAAGGGATTTTTGTACAAGCAAGTAAGTACCTACCATGTATTGTCTTTAAATTGCCAGGCAATTGTTAAAACGAAGTTTGCACTCTAGTTATTTCGCGATTTTACACCCTGTTGTTGAAAGTATAAACATCAGTTTACATGAGTTGCTGTTATTAGAAACATTTTAGCAATTCTGTTTTCACCAAACCAATTAAAAAGCAATTGCTATGTTGAATTTGTAGGGTGTTATTCCACTAGAAAAGATGCAAAAATATTTGCTCGGATATTTGGTTGGATTACTTTTTTTGAGGTGATTATTTTGGGTTAGTTTGGGTGTGTATGTCAAATTGTTTTGCAAACATTCGAAATATATACAGGAAAAAAACAACATTTCAAAGTTTTAGCAGGTTTCAGCTTCCAAGCGAGCAGTAGTCCTGAGACGAAGTTTTGTTTGTTGGGATTATCCAAATTGTAATTATTTGTGTGTGATTTCTCACCTACAGAAAATAGCAAGGAGCTGTATCATTAATTCCATAGTCCAAGAAATGAGACAGAGAAAAAGTTTTCAAACCACCATAGGAAACATTACAATAAAGAAAACAGACGGCAAAGCAAAACAAACTGCAAGACAACAGAAATGAAATGCCGAAACGAAAACAAAACAGCCGAAGAAGCAAAGGACGAAAGCATCTTTGGGATACGTATGTAAGGAAAATTCGCAAAAAATTAAACCCCCCTCTTTAATTTTCTCCCTTCCTATTTCACATTTTGCGAATTCGCAAAAAAATTTAAAACTGACTGATAGATGACAGATGTCACTGTTCTTCCAATAAACCGTGCGTTCGGTATATTATTTTTGATCTAAGTTCTCCGAGCATAAATTAACCGTTCGTTTATTTAAAAAGTGTACTCGGTGCAGGCTCATCCACGTTCGATTATTATTAAAATTTCGAGCCCTCTGATACAGCGTCTAACTGCTCTGTGCGCTCGCTGGCCACGTGATTACGGCTCCGCTCTGCACGCTCTATTCTTTGAGCAAAATACCGACCGCAAGGAATGTTCCAAGTAGTCTTCCCAATTTGCATCGTTCGCGAACTTTGTTCTTGTTATAATTATTTTAAGGAGTAGGTGTTTTCGGTATGCTGATCTCGCTCTAGGTTTTCGAGCGAAAACCGAGCGGTCTGCTCACTCAGGGTCATTCAGTTCTAGGTACAGTGGCACCGCGCCACATTTCATCTGCGCCTGAGCAGTGCCGCCTCGTTCGTTTTCGTTTTTCTATGATGACTTGACTTTTACGAATGACGTCTCTATTTCGCTGTACACGTTTTTCAATTTCATTCTATTTTTCTTGTGAAGTATTGTGAAGTTAAATCCGGAAAATTTGTAGCTGTAATTGTCGTAAGTACAACTTAGTTTCAGAAATATGCGGTTAGCGATTTCAAGATAATAATAGGGTCGGAAAAATATATATTCATTTGTTAAACATGACCGCTTCTCTAGCTCCCGCCGATGCCACAGTGTTGCAAAATGGCTTCCATGGACCAGCCAGAAGCCACTGGGCAAATAGGCCAAACAAAAGGGGGCTCGAGGCCACTTGGCAACCATGCACTTAAAAGGGGGCTTGAGCGAGGTGCGAAGTCGCAAGAGTGCTCTGGCAAAATGCCGCGAGGGGGGCTCAACCACCCTACATTCCACCTTAGCCTGGGCTGACTTGGCTTGACTGATCTGATATTGAAGCCTATTATTGACACAATATTGGTATAAAAAAAAAGAATAATTTATTTTGAATTTGTATCAGTTTTGCTTTTTTTTTTTAATTTTCTTAAGTTTTGGTTTTGATAGGATTTTTTTATTGTAAACATTAATTACATAATGCCTTGGGGACCAAAGCAACTAAGTCTTCAAAAACTGGATGCTATCAAAATTATATAGTTTGGATGCATTGAGAAATTTATCACTATCTTAAAATTTGTATTCAGTCAGCTGTTTGTACAAAGACAAATTTGATATGATGCCTTGCACAATATAACAAATCATCATAAGTATAGAGATGCATTTGTGGCACCCTTCAACTGTTAGATGTAGGTACTTAAATCTAAACTTGACTCAATCGCAAAATCTCCATAGGAAAGTAAATAATATATCAAAATACATAGTAATTATCACAAACCAAATTGCACAAATAATATGAAGGAGCCTTCTACCTTAACCCTTAAGTGCACACGTGGGAGCTTGAAACGTTAGTACATACGTGGGGTGTCCGCAGACCCCCACATCATTATGCTGTATTTTTGTGTAACAAAACAACACTATTAGTTTTAGTTACATTTTTACTATTTTTTCTCATAGATACTAGTATAATAAACAACCAAAATAAACTTTCAAGTTCAAAAACCCAAAAAATATTTGAAGCAAACAAAAATGTTAATAATACATGCTAGAACATATAAATAAGGTCATTCTGAATCTTCATCAAATATTTCAGCAAGACATTGTTCGCAAACATTTTTCATATGTTTTAGGCACTTTTTTCGCGGCATTTCTCACAAAAATATTTTGTCTTTATATTTTTGCTTCTTGGGCACACCGAGCAAATGTTGATAAACACGTGGGAGTCTAATAACAAACTATCAATTTGTTTTTTATGGTAATGTGCATCACGGCGACTTTGTGTGTACTAACAGTCTGACTTGTCCTCGGAAGGTACCTACAATTTAAGCGATGGTACCAAACCTATTGAAAAGCTGTGGGCAAAAGAAAACTCTTGGGGTCTTCTGTACCACCACGTGTGCACTTAAGGGTTAAAGAGCCTTGACATCAACAAAACTTTGCTTTTCAGGCCTTGTTAGTGTTATTTTATAAAATAATCAATCCAATTAGCTGCAGAAATCTTTTAGATTTTAAAATCCGCAAAGCCTATGTCCCCCTCTCATAATAATAGACCGTCAGATAGTGACATATTTAGGTGCCCCATTTTTGCATACAAGCCTCGAAGAGGATTGAAAAGTACATTGATTTTGAGTAGGTTGAAGGTGTTTTTACGAGTGGCTCCTGGGGATAACATATGGAAAATTCGATTTTACTTATGTAACCCTTAAATGTACTTTCCCATTAGCGACACTCAAGAAAATATGTTCTCCTGCTACTGAAGTTGTAGATTTTGCATCTTTCCGATGGGCTTGTGTAGAAAAATCGCCCAAAATCTCGAGTTTTCCTTACAAAGTTTCGCCCTTATTTCGAACCTTTAGCCACCTGCAACTCCCCTTATTTGCTTTTACGAAGCCAGGTTTAATTAATTAATCCTTTGGTGAACGCGGCTTGCGAGAAAATATGGGCATTAAGACGTCTTTCATTTCTGTTGCAGAAAATCGAATTTTCCATACGTTATCCCCAGGAGCCATTTGTAAAAATACCTTCATCCTACTCAAAATCGATGTACTTTTCAACCCTCTTCGAGGCTTGTATGCTAAAATGGGGCACCTAAATATGTCACTATCTGACGGTCTATAATATATATTCTTTTAAAAGCGTCATAGTTGAAGATACAAATATTTCAAGTACCTAATATTATATCCCCTTGACAAGTTTTAATTGGAACATTTTGTTCTAAATCACATTGTACCAAGTCGAATGAACCACCCAGCCTAACAAAAAATTTCAATAATCCAGATTATATAATATACCCCAGAGATGATCATTACAAATTTCAAAATGTCAAATTGTGTTTCAAAAATTCGGTTTGATTCGATCTTTTTTTGTTTGTAAGTACATGCTTTCAAAAAAGTATGTTCTTGTTTCAAAAATAGGTGACAGAAAACCACAGAACTTTAATGAGGTGACATTAAAATTTTATCGATTAAAACCACACTGCCTAGTAGATAATCCTACACCGATTATTTTCTGTGTATTTATTCAAAATAGGCCTACCTAGATATTTATAGGTACCAGTTTTTGCACAAACATATTTATCAGGTAAATTCATTGCCTGAGTGACACAATGCCTAATAGATTTCGTAATAAACCACAAGAATTGCAACATTCTTGCTGATAATTTTAAAAATTACCTATTTAAAATTAAGATAACATGTTTTGAATTTGTAAAGAGGCAAAACAGTGTTCATTTAAAATTGATGCATCAGACAAGTTTTTGAAGATTTAATTTTAGTAACATGAATTGCTATTAAATAAGCATTTTACAGCATAAGAAACTATTAAAAGATGGCGCCTAGCCCTGACGAACTCTTGTCCAAGCCAGCCAACCTAGGTCTTTGGTTTACAACCGCTACCTAATCTGACTACCCAGGTTTTGATCTTTCTGTGACATAAATAAAGGTATGATTCTTCTGGGTCACAGCTACTGTGTAAATATAACTTGTTACTTTTTTATTGGTAAAATAAATTAACATGATTAAAAGGTATCTTTAAAAACCAATATGTCACAACAGCGGCGGATACATTTATTTGAGTTTGGAAAAATACTTGACGTTCAAGGTCTGTTAAGTTTGAATTTGAATGCCAAAAAATTTGTAATTGATTGCTTGCAAAATATAACTGTCTACATCAAAGAAGACTTGAAAAAGCTTGATAATCAGGCCACTTACGACTATACTATTTGAAACTAAATAACTTGTATCAAAAAATGTGACCAGAAAATTCTTCAATATTTCCACTATTTTAATATTGTTAATTTGGAAACCCTGCATTAAATGACACAAGAAGACGAAACTACTTAACATTTTTCTATATGTTACATTTCTTCCTCATTCGGACTTTGCAATCTCTTCTCTAGATTTCCATGTAAAATCTTGAAGAGAAACATTTAAAGGACTGAACATTTCAATAGATTCGGCAAGCTTTGCTTCTTATACTTCTGTGATCCATAAATTTCTTATTGAGAAATTTTTTGTTTCTGACTTTTTTGACATTATTTTGTTGAAATTCCTTGATAATAGAAGTTGAAAAATTTCCATTTGCATCTAACTCTATGGATGGGTTACAAAGTAGATTGCAGCATATTGTTCTAATCCAAAGAACCTTTCTCAA